ATGTAGAGAGAAAATTATATTTTCAATGTCAGAATAGAAAGTCAATGGATTTGATAATGAAACAAGTAGATCATTTTGCAATGTTTCAGCAGAGGAATCAGTAATTCCTGATGACATTGTCTTTTATGGCCTACAGATTTAGCTTGCAGCTAAGCAGTCAGTAAGAAAAAAAAAGATGCAGAATTCTCTTTCCTTTAGAGACTAAGTAATGTGTACACACACACACACACACACACACACACACACCTATATATAACTACCAATTTTTTCTCAATACATAAATTTAATCAGGACAAAGTATGTTAGAATTGAAAAAGCACCAGATTTGGAGTCAGAGGAACCTGTGTTCAAAACCTGCCTCTTGTACTCACTACTTTAGCCTCTCTAGGCCTGATTCCTCATCTATATGAGGAGAGATACTAGATGAACTCTAAGGATTTTTCCAACTCTAAATTTTATTTATTATAATAGCTACCTCATTTGCCTCTCTAGCTAGTCTCTTCCAGTCTTCAATCCATCTTGCACACATCCAAAAACAAGTTTCTTAGGCAGAGTTCTAATATGTTCAGAAATCTCAAATGGCTCCCTAATATTTCTAAAGCTTCTAACCCTGACATTTAAGGCCCTCTAAAGTCTGGCTCCAACCTACCTCTCTACCCCACAAAATGGGACTCTTTGCTATGCCCTGAGCTTGGCTTTCCATCCTCTCCCTTCACTCGTTTACATCACCTGCCCTCTTGTCTTGGAATGCCCTCCATACTAATTTCTTCTTTTCAGAATTTGATCCTTCTTCAAGGGTCAGCTCAGATGCCACCTTCTTGGACTATCTCCTCTCTCCCTTGGACTCAGGGTCTTCACTGGACAGCCTTGCCATTAGTGATTTTTTTTTTCTTGCTCAAATATTCCTATAGCAATTTGATTTTTTTTTTTTGGTTTCTCTTCACTTCCTACTCAGTTTTGTATTTATCTGTGTTCATGTTGTCTCTCCCCAGCAAAAGTGCATATAAAACTGTGCCTAATCTTCCTGGGTGTGTCAGCAAAGATTAGAGAGCATTAATATTGCTATTGTCTTTTCCTCTGAAAGCTTCTTCACATCAAAAAGCCAAAAGTGCAAGCAAAGCTATTCCCCCAGTAGAAACTATTCCAAGGGCAGGGACAGTTCCACTTTTGGCTTTTTGTTTCCAGTGTCTAGCAAAGTACCTTGTCTGGCCTAGACTTAATACATATTTATTCAATTGGATTGAATTCGATTTCTGATCATACACATAACACCAAAAATCAATTGGTGTTATCAGTTTTACTGCCTGAATGATGTTGTTATAGAGGGTTTATGTACAGAAGCCTGGGGGTTTTGCCCAAACCTTCAACTGACTATGTGATTTAGGATAATTTCCTTAGCCTCCTTAGCCCTTAGCTATTACATCCATTCAATGAGGAGACTGAAGCAATTGATCTCTAAAGTTTTATGATTTTGTGCTTGATTTATTAGTACAACACTTCTAAGTCTGCCTGGTATTTTCCTATCTTAAAGAAATTTACTCAATAATAGCATGAAAATAGGCAGTGCATTCAACTTATCCTTAAGCCAAGATGTAGACAGAAAAAAATAAAAATAATTCTAGAAAAGCAGAAATTTTAAGCATAGTCTACTAACCACAATACAATAAAATTACATTCAAAGAAGGCCCTTGAAAAAAGGATTAAAATTAATTGGAGACTAAATAACTTAAATAAGTGGTTAGTCAAAGAACAAATAACAAAATAAACATAATGCCATCAAAGAAAATGACCAAAAAAATAAAAAAGACAAGTAACCACAATTTTAGAAGAGGCAAAGCAACAGGGAGGTGAAATTTTATATCTCTTAAACTTTTGCGTATATACAAGAGAAAGAACAGATCAATGAATTAGGCATGAGACTAATACTAGAAAACCAACAAATTATAAAACAATCAAATACCAAAAATAAATTCTGTAGATCAGAGAAGAAATTGGCAAAACAGAAGTGAATAAAAGACTAAATAAAGCAGATTTTAAAGTTCAATAAAAATAATAGCTTATATCTATATAGCATTTACTCTATACCAGACAATGGGCTAACTACTTTACAAATATTATATTATTTTATCCTCACAACAATCCTGTAAAAGGTAGGTGCTATTATTATTCCCATTTTAGAAATTAGGAAAATGAGGCAGAGAGGTTAAATGACTTACACGGGGTCATACAGCTAGGAAGTATCTGAGGTCATATTTGAACTCAGATCTTCCTCACTCCAGACTCAGCACACTATTCACTGTGCCACCTACATGAAAAAAAGAAAAAAAAAAGCAAACTATCAGAAATGAGAAGGACAATTCACAACAAATGAAGGAGGGAAATTATGAGAAAATTATTTTCCTATCTGCCAACAAAACTGATACCCCAACAGATTGACCAAGATTACAAAAATAGAAAATGACAAATGTTGGAGGGGCTTCAGGAAATAAGCATATTAATGCTATTGATGGAGATGCTCATTGGTCCAGTCATTCTGGAAAACAACTTGAATCTATGCTCCCAAAGTCAGTAAACTTGCATACCCTTTAGCAGAGGGATGCCATTACTTGTCTTATACCTGAAAGAAGGGAAAGAGAGAGAAAGGGATGCATATGCATATGCATGAAATAGTTATTGCAGCTAGTGAGTAGGATGTTAGATTTGGAGTCAGGAAGACCTAAGTTCAAATGTGGTCTCAGAAACTTACTATCTGTGTAGTCCCCAGCAAATCACTTAACCTTCACCTGTCAGTTTTTACCTGTCTACAACAAGGATGATGATAGCACCTCTCTTCAGGGTTGTTATGAAGATCAAGCTTTCAAGACTGTATTAATGCACTTTTATTTGCAGCTCTTTTTGTAGTAGTAGAGCTGGAAAATAAAGTGATGCCTGTAATTTGAGGAATGACTGAACAAGGCATTACAAATGAATTGTAAAATACTTTTGTGCAATAAAAAATGATGAAAAGCCCTGGGAAGATTTATTTGAATTGATGTACAGTGAAGTGAGCAGAACCAATACAACGATTGTAAAGGCAAAGAGCTTTTAAAGATTTAGGAACTCTGATCAATGCAGTTATCAACCATAATTACAGAGGATCAGTAATAAAACACATCACTCCTCTTCTGACAGAGAGGGGATAAACTCAAGATGCAGAATGAGACACATGTTTGGAAACAGCCAGTACAAGAATTTGTTTTGATCCATTATGCATTTTTGTTACAAGTTTTCTTTTTTCTTTTTTTTTTAATTGGGGAAGGGGTGATGTAGGAGGGAAAGTAAATAAATACTTGTTAATTGAAAAAATATTAAATTTTTTAAAACCTCATTAACAACATAGCATAGTATTAAGATTGCTAAATTTGGAGTCAGAAGATGGGCATTTAAATCCCTTCTATGCCAGATACTAGTTGTAGCACTTTGGGCACATTGTTCAAACTTGACCTCAGTTTCCTGCTCTGTAAAATGGTGGGGAGAGTGTTGGATGAGATGATCTCCCAGTTCCCTTCCATTTCTATTGCTAGAATCCTGTGACACCATCTTTCTGATGCCATTGTATATAGTAAATTCCACCCCAATTTGGAGAAATAATTATGGTTTATAACTCATTTGCCATTTGTTACTGTAGGAATATACATATATATAAATATTAATGAAAACCTATGAGATTTGTCTCATTGCATTCATTTTTTCTGGAAGTGCAGATACTTCCATCCTCGAGGTGTGTGTGCATGTGTATGTGTTATTTTTTTTGTGGGGGGCTTCTTTTTTAATAGAATAGATAGGAAACAAATGATGAGAATGACTCCCTACATTTGACAATTAAAATGACAATCTCGTGTCTTTTTTTAAGAGGTGGGGAGAGAAGTCAAAAGTAGTAAGGAAGGGACTATGAAAACACTGTCTTGTTCTTTTCTCACTCTTCTTTCCCCACAGTCAGAATCAGGAAGAATAACTGATTTGCCTCCTAGGGATTTTGTGAAGAATATCAATAACAGTTACATAGCACCTTGAGGAAAAAGAAAATGTGTAAATGAAGAATAATAAAGGAAAATTCCATTAATTCTCCTTAAAAGGGAACAGAAAAAACAAGTTCAAACTGCCTGGGTGTAGATTGGATAGTATTTCAATTAAAGAAAATTGGGATGTAGAAACAGCTGACAAATAGCAGTAGATACGAATAACATCATTCACAGTAGATGAACATTGGATTAATGATTGTCTGTATTCAAACTATTACATAAAATGCATGGAGACTTAGTTCTTATATTACTTTATTAATATGATAGTCTAGAGGTCAGAACCTTACAACAGCTCTGTGAGATAGGCACTACAGGTATTATTATCTCTATTTTACATCTGAAGAAAATGAGGTCAAGATAAGTTTAGAGACTTGACAATGGCTAATGTGTCCCATATCTGATTATGGGCTTCTACCACAGGTCTTCCAGCCGCCAAATCCAGCACTACTATGGACCAATCATATACCAAAAATGAGAGATAATAGATAGACATCAAATGTCACATTGATATCACCAAGGTATTTTAAAAAAACTAAAGGAAATTCTTTAGCACACTGGATTGCTCTCTTAAGGAGCTATTACAGACTTGCAGAGGATAAAAATGTGAGGAAAGGTTTTTTGTTTTCATTGGTGGAAAGAATACTGAGATTCATTAAAAATCATAAACCCAAAATCAAAGTAAAGGATTATCTCCCCAGCTGAAATGCATTCTCCTTGTGGAAACATATTGTATTCATCTTTCGCATGCCACACATTGCCTGACACAATGATTTTCAAAAGAATATGTACTCAATAGATGTTTGTTGTATCAATTATTTAAATTATTTCAACTGTCTTATAAAATATTCGGTGAATTAATCACTAAACTACTGAGTCTGCTGATATTTGGGAAGAATAAATTAACCATTTTTATAACTTAATTCAATAACTTTTTTCTAGGTTCCCAGAATTACTTTGAAGTTAGCAATCCACTAGAAATAGGAATGGAACTCTATACAAAAACAAATAAAACAAGAAAGATTGAGGCAGCATCAGAAACTCCTGAAAGCAGTGTGTCATCAGTACTAGTGCTACCAGCTAAAATATCCTGTGAGGTAAGTTTAATACTTTTGTAATTACCTGATATTATGAATTATTATCAATATTATCAAATTATAGATTTTGGGTCGATCTTTGAATTCTTGAATTTCATCAACTGTATTTGATGATTTTATAACAGACTACTTTCTGCTGATCTTTGTAGTAGAATGCTAGATTCACGTTAATTAAAGTTATTTACAAACAAAGGAGAAACTTCTCAGAGGAAATAACTGAGAGTCATTCATCATTTTCACTAAAGCTATCGTTATCTATTCGGTGAACATTTTTGAGTCTCTACAATGTAATCATTGATTCACAGAACAGTGCTAGATGCTTATGGAGTATTCTTTGGTAAGAAGTGGAAGAGATGGTCTCTACCATTTAGAAGCTTAAATTTTACTTAAGGAGATGAAATGTCATTTCAAGCACTCTCTAATTTAGCAATAACCAAATTATGAATATTTCTGTCACGTAAATGGCTAGTTGGCATTGTGCCAGAGATGGGTCTTCATTAACCTGGGGAATTGATAAGCATTCCCTGAGATTTCAAATTCCTTTCTGTGATCTACTGTTGACTTTTTTGGTTTTGTATATGATATTCCTTCATATGCTAAATATGATCCCTGTGATAGATAGGATATATGTTATGTTCTTTTCATTGAGTGGCAGCATAGAATATCGGTTAGAGAACTGTCCTTGAAGTCAAGAAGACCTGAGTTGAGATGCCACCCGTGACACATACTGACTCTGCGACAATAGGGAAATCATTTAAACTCTGAGGGTTCCCAAGTTACCCTTTTAGACTTTAAATTACAGAAGTAGTCTAGATGAGTACTGGCAGAGGAATCTCCGAACTGGGAGTTCCCTATATTGAGGAAATCATGTCTTTAGACCTATCCCCATTATTTCATCCTGTAAGACCACATCAGCCTTGGAATTCTACCTCATCACTATCCTACACACCTCTGATTGGGGGGCGGGGCCATGAACCCCAAACCCTCAATTTAAGGAGAAATTTCAGTTCAGACATCTCATTTTTCACCTGGTTGTACTACTATGAGATGTCTCTGACTCCTCCACCATGCCTTCACATTGGATACCTTCAAATCCCTATTCCCCTTTCCTTTCCTGCTTTTCAGCTGCCTTTGGTGTATTGTTTTCTCTCATTTGATCATAAGCTTCTTGAGGTCAGGGACTGTCTTTTTTTTTTCTTTGTATATTTCTATATCCAGTGCTTAGCATAATTCTTGGCACATAATAGTCACTTAATAAATGTTTATTGACCAACTGATTTTCATTAAACCAATATACTTACAAATTGATTTTTTTTTCATATTTCACCTATGGGTTGATATAGATGGTTTCTGAGATCCCTTCCAAGACAAAGATTTTGTGATTTTGATTCCATGAAAGCATGTTTGAATTTCATAAACCTTCTGGATACTCTTTTAGAATTCTTCCTATATGTATATGTGTGTATACATGCATGCACATATATGTGTATATATATATGTATATACATATATATGGACCACCTATTATGTGCATATCACTGTGGTAGATCCTCTTGGAATCAAAAGAAAACTACAGTACATGATGTTAGTCTTCAAGGGACTGTGGATAGACAGACATGGTTAAATGGAATGTCCAATGGTAGAGACAATGGGGTAAAGAGGCCAGAGAAACAGTTTGAGGTTATGTTATAAATGTTAAATGAAGTCAGGCAACATTGCATGTGAATAAGAGAATTGGAGTATAGATCAACAGAGGCAGAAAAACAAGTTATATGGAAATGCTCATTCTATTCCTTAAGTTCAGAATAAGATACTGTTGCTTATTTTCAAAAATTTGGGAAGGAAAAACGAATCTGGAGTGACACAGGATCCACTATAGGTCCAACCACTGGACAAAATCTAATAAAATGAAATAATAGAGATAAATGTAAATTATTACAATTGAGTTCAACTCACTTTCATAAGTACATCAGAGGAAGGGTATAGCTGAACATCAGTCCACCTGAAATAAAAAAGATCTAGGAGTTTTAAGGAACAACAAACTAAGAGAGTATATCATTTGTGTGATTTGGCAATCACAAGAGCTAATGCCATTATAAGTTAGATTAAAAGATATAGCATATGAGAACAAAAATACTACTCTGTTCAGTTTGGGGAATCACATTTTAGGGAGGACATTGATAAGCTGGGGAGCATCGAAAGAAGTTCAACCAGGATTGTGAAGTACCTAAATTTCATGTCATATAAGGAGCAGTAGAAGAAAGTGGGAATGTTTAGCCTTAGTAGAGGAAGACAGTGGTAACAATATTTCTCTGCTCAAATATGATGAATTTGTCCTTCTGGGCCCCTGAGCACAGAAATAAGAGCAGTGGGTAGAAATGGCATGCGGACAAATTTAGACTTGATGTCAGGAAAATAGGAGCTATATTAAAGTTTTATGGGCTACATCAGGTGATAGTGGGTTTCTTCCTACTGGAGGCTGTCAAGCAAAGGCTAGATGACTATTTTCGGCTTTAATGTAGAAGGAATTCTTTCCCAGGTACCAGCTGACCCTTGACATCATTTCCAAAGAGATTCTGGCCTTTAATGCAATATTAAAGAGTTCAGAGATTACACCGAAGGAAATGGGGTGCAAATAATATTTTGGGAAGATAGTTTGTCGATTGGATACAGGATGTATTTGAGAAAAGAGACATCAAAGACAAAAAAGACTAGTTCAGATTCTATTGCAATAATAGATCACTCTAATGTCTCATTATAGGATGGAGGTGGTCCTGCGTTCTTGAAGGCACAAGTTGTGGTTGTATTTATAAGTCTGAAAAGGCTTCATGTAGAAACCTTCCTATGGATGCTGTGTTTCTCCTCCAAGGAGAAGGCCATCTAAGTGCAGGTAGAGTTAGCATTAGAAGGTTGGACAGGGAAATTCATGAAACATGGAGAAGTTGAGATCTGCATTAGACGAAGTGGGATTCACCAATAAAATCAAAGATCTCTCAAAATATCAATGTAAAAGGGAAGTGCTAAAAGTCTGGACTACAATGGGACAGTGGGACTGGAAATGATAAGACAGATTTGAAAGCAAAAGATTGACAAGATTTGGTAACTCATCATTTTGATGATTGCTTAGAACAAGGAATGAGTCAGATGATTCCAAAGTTTCAAACTTAGTTGACAAGGAAATAATGGCATAATTGACAGAAACAGGAATGCTAATAGACATTTATATAACAGCTTATATAACATGAGAGCTGGATAAATCTTCAGTTCCGTACTGTCCAAAAAAATCATTTGAAGCAGTGGGGCAGAATCCACTGCTTTCACCTTCATTGCTCCTTCGAGTTTAAGCCACAGAAGCCATCTGTCTACACACATCCCAAAAGCAGAAACCTCCCCACCCCTTCATCCTGGTAGGTACGGGGGAACTGAACATAAGCTTGTTGACCTATTTTTGCTTTGCCATGTTGAGTCTCTAATATTTGCAAGTTTTCCAAGACTGGGACCAGAGGTTCCATTGACTTAAGATTGAATGCAAGGATAACTATTGCTTCCTTATGGTATTCCATAAGCCTACCTCATTCCTCTGCCTCAGACCTGGTCACTGTTGTAGTAATTTAGTAGTATGAATTATCAAAGTCTCAGAGGGTTTCTTCCAGAATAATGGATGTGTGTCCTGCTATGTTATACATCTTTACTTGGAATAGTGAGGTCCATGTATTAAGAAGTCAAGATGCCTATCATTATCTTTAGCTGATATTACCTTTTTTTTTTAAAGTGAGTGCCATAGATGCCAGGCTCATCAAATTTAAAGATGGTGGCATAATGAACATACTGAATGACCAAATCAAGATCCAAAAAGGTCTTGACAGGTTAGCTCTGGGTTGAATTTAATAAATGGGATTCATTGGAGATAATTGTAGAGTCTTAAACTTGGGTTCAAAAAATCAGCTTCACAAGGACAAGATAAAGAAGGCATGGTTAGATGGTACTTTGTCTGAAAAAAACAAAAGATGTAGGTGCTTTAGTGGACCACAGGCTCAATATGAATGGACAGTATGATATAGCATCCAAAAAAGCTAATGGGATCTTAACTTGAATTGAGAAGTATACTTCCCAGTAATTAGTAAGAGAACACCTCATTGTACTCTGATTTGATAAGACCACATCTGAAATATTGTGTTTAATCTGGGCGCTAGAGTTTAAGATAGACACTGATAAGCTGAAGAGTATCTTGATGAAAGCGAATGGAATGGTAATGGGGAATGACTGAACAAGTTGTGGCATATAATTGTCATGGAATTCTATCGTTGTATGAGAAATGATGAGCAGATGGTTTCAGACAAACCTGATAAGATTTGTATGAACTCATGCAAAGTGAAGTGAGCAGAACCAAGAGAACATTGTACACAGTACCAGCAATATTGTAAGGATTATTAACTAACTGTGAAAGATAGCTACTCTGATCAAGACAATGGTCCAAGACAATTCCAAGGGACCGATGATGGAAAATTCTGTCCACCTCCAGAAAGAGGACTGATGGACTCTGAATGCAGATTGTAGAATACCTTTTTTTTTTACTTTCTTTATTTTTCTGGTTTTATAATTTTTGTCTGTGTTTTCTTTTATGACATGACTAATATGGAATTATGTTTTGCATGACTTCATATGTAAAATTGATATAAAATTGCTTTCCTTCTCAAAGAGGGGGAAGTGGCAGGAAGGAAATTTGGAATGCAAAATTTTAAAAAATATTTTTAAAACATTTTGAATATAATTTGGAAATATTTAGTTAAATAAAAACAATTTTTTAAATCTAATTAGAGTTTCATTAGCTACACATTTAACTGAAATCAGTGTGTATTAGTAGAGAGAGAAGGATTATTAGACTTATCTAAACAGACTTATCTGAAATATAAACCTGTAGAAAATGAAACTCAGAGGTAGTTAGGGAGGTGGGGAAGGAGGCTTTCTCCTTGCCCTGAAAGCCAATGCCATTTTGGCTTACTATATTTAAAAGAAAGATACAACTCCTTGAAGGGAGGGGGGAATAAGTTGCTTACAAAAGGAACAACCATGACTCTAAAGAAAACACTGACCCCTGCAAAGCAACAGGGCTCTGATTGGCCCCAAGCTTAGGGGAGAAGAGACATCTTGGTTTACCCAGCTCACCAGCACCACTAGGTAGTTATATAAATACTTACAAAATAAATGCAAAGTAATTTGCAAGAGAGTTAGTACAATGAGCTTGAGTAGGTGTGTGGAGATCATGAAAGACCTCACGTAGGAGGTGACATTTAAGCAGTACTTTAAAGAGAACTAGGGATCCTCCTAATCAGCAGAAGTGAGATTGTGAATTCTAGGCATTAGAGAAAGACAGTACAAAACTTGGTTTTGGGAGTTGGAATGTTGTGTTTGAGGAACAACAAGTAGAATGATTTGGCTAGGATGTAGAAATTGTGAAAGCAAATAGTATCTAAAAAGTCTAGAACAGAAGGCCGGAGCCAGATTATGCAGGAATACCCAATAGGAAAGTCTATATTGCATACTTGTGAAAATTTTAAGTCCCTAAAGCTTTTAGATCAGGAGAATGACATAGTCAAAAGTATACCTTTTTTTGTTTGTTTTGTTTTTTGGCTAGGCAATGGGGTTAAGTGACTTTCCCAGGGTCACACAGCTAGTAAGTGTTATGTGTCTGAGACCAGATTTGAATTAAGGTCCTCCTGACTCCAGGGTCCATGCTCTATCCACTGTGTCACCTGGATGCTTCATCAGAGCTATACTTTAGGAGTATCACTGATGACTGGATGCAAGACTGATTAGAGGGGGAGAGACTTGAGGCAGAAAATCGATTCAGATGTTACTGCAACAGTCTAGTCCAGAGAACTTGGAGGCTTTATCTAGGGTAGCGGTCACATGAATAGATAGAAAGAGATGAATATAAAGATAATGTAGAAATAAAGTAGACAATATTTGGCAACTGATTAAATATAAATATGGGATGTGGTCATGGGTTAGAAAGAATTAAGAGCTGAAAATGACTCAGAAGTTGTGAACCTGAATGACTGCAAGGATGATGGGACCTTCAGCAGAAAAAGGGAAGTTAGAAAGAGGGGTATGTTTGGAGGTAAAATATGTGTTCTCTTTCAGACTTGCTATTTTTTCATATATAGAATTCTATTTCCCTTTGGAAGACCAGTGGCTATTCACCACTTCTGAAATCCTCTCCCTTCTTATCTCATCTTCAGGGAATCCCTAACTTCCTTCAAGGCAGCTCAGTTGCCACTTTCTGAAGGAGATCTTTCTGGGCCTCCTTTCTGGCACCTTGTGAGTGCCTTCTCTTTTAGGGTTGCCTCCCAGTTACTCTGTATATATCTTTTCTGTTTATATTCACGTTATATTTTTTTAATTTTATTTTATTCTATAAATTTTATTTATTTTATTCTGAACTTCAGAAAAGATGATTTCACATAAAACTGCAAATCTGCTATGTACAACTTGCTATTCCTTTTAAATATATAACAAAGTTATCATGTAACTTTCTTTTTTCCCAAATTGTTTCTTTCTTTAGAATGTAAGTTTCTTGAAAACAGAGACAGGTATTTTTTTCCTTTGTCTCCTAAATGATTAATACAGTACTTAGCACATAATGAATACTTAATAAATGTTTGTTGCTTGACTGATAACATGTTGGGGTTGAATGTAGATATGCCATCCACTGATAAATGTTTAACAGATAATTGTTAATGCATAAGTGGCACTCAGGAGAGCAATTTGGGCAAGACGGGTAGAAAGATTAGATAGATAAACAGATATAATAG